TCTTTTTATCTTTATTTTCCATTTTTTTTCCTTTTTCTTCGGATTAAGCTTGTATTACGAATTCGACTTGGACCTTGGATTGATTGTAAGCTTTTCTCTCTTGTTTAATTCATGAATAATGATTAAATTTGGAGAATTGATTTATTTTGTTGAATTCAATATGCGTAGCTAATTCGTATCGCTGGGATAGGGGAATGATTATTCTTTTTTAACGTGCATCTCTCGGGCTTGAAATTGTTCTTGCTTATGTGAGTGGTATTGATTAGAATTGATGAATTTGAGTCGATAGATTGATATAATCGAAAAGTGACATTTTGATCTTGCTATTGGTGACAGTTGGATGTTAGTTTGTCGAGTTAGGGTTTGTCAATTCTATATGATTAGTTGATTAAACACCTTCTAATTGACTTAGCGGCTTTCAGAACCGAAAGGGGAGAAGTCGTAGGAATAGGCTCACATGAGGTAGATGATTTTGTAATTGAATAGTCTATGTGTTTTAGATTGAAATACGAGCTTGTCAATGACCCGTCCCTTGTTACGAATAGTTATTGGGACTGGGATAATTGGCATGTTTTGTATGCTTGAGCTTGTTCGTCTATGTTCAATCCCTTGTTACGAAGAGTTATTGGGAGCGAACCACTAGATATTTAAGCGAGAGTGCCAATCTCGAACTGAACAATTGATTGCCCGACTTGCTAGAACTTGAATTAATTATCCCCGATTCCCTAGCTTCTCCATCTTCGTTCCATTCATATTCTTAGGTAGATTAACATTTTTGCATTGTTATTCATTTCTTAGTTGATAGTTATTCACTCCCTTTATCTGATTAGTATGCTTAGGATTTATTTTGCTTTTATGTGTGATCGATATCAGAATTAAATTCCGAACAGCCTTCCTCGTGAGATCGACCCGGGGATCGAATCTTTTGATACGGTACTCGGTAAAAAGAATAATTTGTACACAACAAATCGTTGCCGGGGAAGGCAAGTAGGATATTTGGTTTTGGTATTGATTTTATTTTCTGTGTTTCTCTTTATTTTGTATTTTTCGAGTTTTAGTTCTTCCTTTTGTGCTTCTTTGTTTTCTTTTTGTCTATTTGTTTTTGGTTTGTTTGTTTTCTCTTTTTCGTTGCTACGTTGGGTTGTTTTGTTTTGTTGTGCAGGAATATGGAGTTCAATCACGACTATCTTTCCCCGCACTACTCTTCTTGGAACAGTGAGCCGAGTTATTATGCTGGGTACTACACCCAATTACACCCATACTCTTCCGAGCAGTGTTGGAACCGATTTTCGGTCGAGCAGATGCATGAGTCCAACAAGTTTAACGAGAAGCTCGACCAGATCCTTGAATTTATAGAATCCAAAGCAGCTCGTGAAGAAAAGGCCGCTTACGATAAAAAACTTGATCGGGCCCTCGCTCTTTTGCAATCTCAGGCAGCTCGTAGGAGCAATCTTGAGGGTCAGATCGCGAATTTAGTGGAGCGCATTCAAGCTATAGAGGACCGAGTTTTCTCTCCCGAGCTCATCATGCAAGACGATTTTACATATATGGGTGGACTCCGAGAGGATACCTTAACAAGCGATGAAAAACTCGACCTCATCCTTGTTCGTGTGGCAGCCCAAGCAAGTCGACTAGAGGAGATTGAGGGTGGATGTACCCGAATGGTGGACCAGCTCGATGGGATAATAGATCACATTAAATCCGTCAAGCCACGAGTCGATGGGACCTTGAGCACTAACTATCGGATTTACGAGGGCGAGACGGAAGAAGAGGAGGATTTTCTCCCAGCAGATGAGGGTGATATTTTGATGGAGGTAACTTCTGAGCCCGCATTCGGGAGTCCTTCATTTGAGCCGTCATGCCCCATCGAGAAGGACCCAGTGGTCTTGCTATGCTCCACAGATGTTCTTATCCTTCCATTGGTTGACAATGGAGTTTCGGTGAAGAGAGCTCTAGGCTACTTTGTTACCCCACCTTGCTCCCATGCCCAGTTCCAGAAGAATATTGCTACCCGAGCCACCCGTGCCTGCCTTCTGGCCTTGGTGCCAGCACTGCCACTTCTCGAGAATACAAAGGCGTGGCACGATCGTCACTTCTTTCTGGACCCCGGATGAGTTCTTTTCAGGTTTCGTCAAGCTAATGACGTTAAACAAGCGCTTCTTGGGAGGCAACCCAAGTGATTTACTGCTTTATTAGTTATTTTTCTTTTTGCTTTTTAGTTTTATCTTGAAATAATGGGAGTTTGGAGTTTCGTGATTTTCTTAGTGGCAGGGATGAGTTCGCGAGGCTGATCATAGGCGAGCCACTTGCACATGCATGCTATTTCTCCTCGAGGCACTTCGGTTTGCACACCCTTTTATTATTTTCTCTTTTTGAGTTGTTTCTTTCTTTTGTCTTTTCTTTTGAGTTTGTGTCTTGTGTTAGCTGCTAATTTGGTTCATTATATGAAAATGTTGGGTCCTATTATGTGACTTCCAGTTTGTGTTGAAGAAATGAGGTCATTGCCTCATTTTAAGTGTGGGGGAGTCTAGTTGAATTTTGCATGCTTATATGGTGGACCGGTCTAGTTTTAGGATTTTGTGTTGTTGAGCATGTGATATTGGTGGATAATATGAATTGTTGATGAATGTTTGATGAAATTGGGAAGTTGTGATAACGGACGTGTGGTCATTGCCTCGGTATTTGCTTGATTGCCTTGAGTGACATCTATTTGCCTTGTGAGACTTTGGGCCTTACTTTTTTTTCTTGTGAGATATTGGTCGTATTCTTGCATGATTAGAACTTGCCTTGAGTTTGTTTGAAATGAATTGATTAGAGTTTAAAATTGCGAAAGTGATTGAGGCGTTTTATTGATTAGCTCTCTTTCTGCCTTGTTCTTCGGTCCTAAAATTTATTCCACTAGTAGCCCTTTGAGCTTAAAACCTTTTCTTGTCAACCTATTGACTGATTTGTGTGATGATTGGGGGATTGGTGGCATTTTTGAATATGGTGGAAATTTGAGTTGCATTTTATTTGCTTGACCAGTTGAAAAAAAAAATGAAAAATGAGAGCTCACAGGACGAATCGAATGGATTCTGCTCCTCTTACTAGTCGATTCATGTTGATGGGTAATGAGCATTTGGAAACTACTGTAG